GCTGTATAAATCCGACATGGGCAGACCGCATTTTTAAGTTAACGCTCGACGTATCTACATGTCAGTAGAGTTGATGTAGTAGGCTGGCCTAATTGTGAGATTGCTGTCTACAATGATTACACAGCATATTCTGCATAACATGGTTGCAAATTGTCTCAAGCTACTCGTTAACTGGCTAGATTGCTTGCCCCATACTCCATTGTATTGCGTGCTAAAACCAAAACGGATGGCTCGAGGTAATTGACATGCAAAGAAATCTGCACTTACTTCAATTTGCAGAAATTTTGGTGATTAGGAGGCATAAACCCGTTTGGTGCAGAAAGATTTAGTCACTAGTCTCTTCCTACACTATAGGGTTAGCGACCAGTTTCCTCCTACCGGAGCACACGTGGACTCAATGACATGCGACCGCATCGTCGTTCAATACATTGATTCTCTTTGTATGTAGCTCAACGATTTCAAACATCAGATGCAAACAGCTAAGAAAATGTGAAAATGTGAAATAACCATCAAATAAAGTGCTTTCTGAATGGCGCCTGTTGACCAATACACCCAGAGGGGGCACATAGTGCACGTATTGCGTCAACCAGAAGTTACTGCGTCTAGTACTGATGGAAGGATGCAGGCGTCAAGCTGATACGGCAATTCGCTGTTCGTGGGAGATTTACGTCGACATCAAGTAACGAGTGAATATGAGCATTGATGCTTGTGAATTGCTGCCAGTGTCGTGTGTTTAGCAACAGCATCTCCCGATGTTTAGTAAATTCTCTGCGCTATCTCAGTCATGTGCATCGCGTGCCTACAACCCAGTTGCCTCGGCAAGTATTATGTACCAACACCAGAACTATTAGAACAGCAAGTAGAATACGAGACGCCCACAGAAGCTGCACTGATGATGTTGCCTTATCTGGCAAAGGAAGGTTTGTAAACAAATCACTTAATTCAGAAATAACCCTGGACACGCATCCAAATTCCAAGCTGCGGATATTGTCAATACTTACTAATACGGTGCAGGAATCAGGGGACACCTTAACCGATCAATGGTATGACAAAAATGTTTACAGAAATTCACAAAGAAGCTGTGTAAAGCTAGCGGGGTTCGTCTATCTGGATAATAGCTTCGGGACGCATTGGTGGTCAGATACCCCGTCGAATATATTAACTTCATGATGACAGAGGCTATCTTGCATACGTTTACTTGCTTTTAATTCTCACTTCAGTGCTTTGACAAGTTCCGGTAACCAGTGGAGATGAGCATAACTGACTAGAGCAAATAGGATGAGGCAGTCGTCTAGACTTGCTGGAAGTATGGGAAGTTAGTTGACTGAGGTCTGACTGTGACGAAGCAATTATAAACAATACAAAAAATAACCTGATCATAATACACATCATATTAACAGTAGCATTTTTATCTGAGTGGTGTGAGCCAAGTCGACTGGATCCACCGCAGTTCAGTCACAAAGCATAGTTTATGGACGAGGTGAGGTGGTCTCCGTATTGGCACTGAATCGCTTTGAGTCTGTCATGCGGATTGACGTAGAACGATGCTAAAAATTAATCACATGCGATCTCTATGGTAGCGATGACGTGGGACACTAATAAAGAGACGTAAAAGCTATTTGGAGGTACTGGCAAAAAAGACAAGTAATCTGATGGACCACCAGGGGGACGAGAGCGCAGCATTGGCGCGTTACTGTTACATCTTACAAAATATGGAAATTGCTTGCTGCTCAAATAGACACAAAACACGTACATATTAGTAAACTGGCGATCTTAAACTGCCTTGTCTAGTTTGATATGGCGGGTGAAAAGTTCTGCTTTCAGCGAAGAATAAGTTTACAAATTGCGCCAACTGATAGCCTGTGCGCAACTATGCATCTTCTGGTTGATGTTTCGCGTATGTGAAAGTGAGTGTGGTATTTTCCTATAGCTATAGATAAAATGAAAATATACTTTAATTTTCGGTGAGTCATTATCCCATATGTTCAACTGGATGAATAAGACATGCTGCTTATGTGCATGCAATCGACCGGAGGGTTTAGAATGGCTGTGGAAAGAGATGGAATAGAAAAAACGGTTGTAACCAAATTGTTTGTCAAAAATTAGGTGCAAAGAGTGCAAACGGTGTATGATTTAGATTACCATCTTGGGGCTTCTCTGAACATGCTGACACTTGGCTGGTCCTTTTACTCAACGCAACAACTTCTGAATTCATTTCTTTTCGAACACATTGGCACCATGCTGTGCGGATGGAGCTGAGTGGTGTAGCACTACACGTTACTGCAAATTCTGCAAGCAAAACCGAGTGAGGTAGCCTTCGAGCATTACCGTATTTTTCGGGCGATAAGGCGCGGTATTCGTGACATGCACACTTCATGTATAAGGCTCTGTAAAGAGAGTTAGCATCCAACGGAAAACGACTAAATACAGGTGGTTATCTGGCCACGGACAACCGAGGGCAGTCGTATAACCCAATCGAAGGATTATAAGACGCAGTATCAGTAAACGGGTCTATTTTCATATATACGGTGCACTGGATTATAAGACGAATAAAGTGAAACAAAACAGTTGGATAGGTCAGACTTAATTCAAGTCATTAACAATAACTGTCAATAGTGTTCACTCTTAACACACATAAAACGCAGAAAAATTAACTCACTTTTGCAACCATTCCTCTTCTATAAATCCGTCAAAGTCTTCAGCTTCAGTGTCGAAGTTTAACAGTTGGGCGATAACAGCATCAAACAAGCCCGGATCCCTCTTGTCATCAACTGAGTCAGTCTCGTTGATGTTGCTTGGCTGTTTATTGATGATTCCTGGCTTCGTAAAAGCTTGGACGACAGTTGAGATCGATACCTTGACCAAAGCATCGACGATCCACTGGCAGATAGTGGCATAACTAGCCCGGAGTTGCCTCCCTGTCTTGGTAAATGTGTGCTCACCTTCTGTCATCCAATGCTCCCACGCAGCTCGCAATTTAACTTTGAACGCCCTGTCGGCACCAATATCTAGAGGTTGGAGTTCTTTGGTTAATCGTCCCGGAAACATGACAAGATCCGAATTAGTTTTCTTCACTTGGTGTTTGACAGTTTCGGTGAGATGGACGCATATGGAGTCGTATGTCAATAAGGACGGAGATGTGCTGAAAAAGCCATCCGGTCTCCTGTCGTAAACTTCTCTCAGCCACTTGCTCATTTTCTGCTCGTCCATCCAGCCTCTTGGGTTAAGCTTGACGATAACCCCAACAGGAAATCTTTCTTTTGGTAAAGTCTTCCTCTTAAAAATGACCATGGGTGTTAGTTTCTGACCATTAGCATGGCAACCGAGAACTACAGGGAAGGATGATTCCTCGTTCCCTGTAGTGCGTATAGATACAGTAGACGTCCCTGTTTTTTCAAAAGTACGGTTCAAGGAAATGTCAAAGCTGAGAGGAACTTCGTCTATGTTCGGGATGTGGTCTGACTGGATCTTCTTTTCGGTGATCTTGTTCTTGCAGTAAGTGCGGAGGATGGCCAATTTTTCTTCGTTATCCTTTGGCAGTTACTGCGAAGTGGTAGTTCTTGTGCGGATGAAGAGATGATACCTTTTCATAAAACGGAAGCACAAAAGAAGTCGTTCAACTTCGTATCACGTGCCATCGCTATTGCCTTGAATCGAATGGACACCGTAGAGACGCTTCTACCTGCTGTTCAATGTTCAGTAATCCCCTGCTCAATTTTGTCCTCCAACTGTGGCCACCTTGCTTTGTTCCCTCGGAAACTCTTCTTTGTCTTCTTTACTTGGCGCAGGTCATCTTCTTGCTTCTTCCACTTTCGTACCATTGATTCATTAACGTTGAATTGTTTCGCAGCTGCTCTATTCCCATGTTGCACTGCGTGGCTGATGGCCTTGAGTTTGTCGTTTAACAGGTGTCATTTTGGGGGTCCTTAGTTACCGGTATGTTGAAGCACAGTACGTATCAGGAAAAGTGGTAGGGGTAAGCGAACAAATTTCGTCTTGATCGCCAGCATGCGAATGGTGTCGACAAAGTTTATCGTGCCTGACCTTATACGTTGACCAGCTTGTATGTTATCACGCATTTATCCGCGAGTGCACTGTTACTCCCTCCGTAGTACACGCACGACGATGTATGTTCCAGTTGTCTATCCGAAAACCTCAGTTTGGACGATTATGTGCCTGAAGCTCACACGGGCGTCGTCGACTGTCTGGATAATCGCAGGTCTTTGGAATACTGGTGTGAGCACAGATCGTGTGTTCAAACACTCACCTGCAAATCAGCGAGATACAGGCGCGTGTTTTGGACAGTGTTTGTAAGGTGCATTGTCGGACCAAGTGAGTTTGTCGGGTGGAGTAACCATCACATATATCACAGTGTGGGATATCAGCGTGGATGGTTGAATAGTTGGTTGGTTTATCATCGCCAGGAAAGCTCGAATCAGTTGGTTCCTGCACAGAGTTCGCCCCAAGACAACATAGAAAGTTGACTCCACGAGGTTCCTGACTAACGATTACGCTTCGATCATCAAAGTCGGAATAAAACATTTTGACAGACTTTTCAGTGTGAACATAAAAATTGATTCGAGGTCACTAAGCCTCAGCACAACCATTCATATATAAGGCGCACCGGAATATAAGGCGCACTGTCGATCTTTTTTAGCAAATATAAGGATTTTAAGTGCGCCTTATAGTCCGAAAAATACGGTAAGTGGCAACTGCCGATCTCAAACGGCGTACGTGCGTTGAGAGACCATAAGTAGAGGTTTCAAATTTAAGCAATGCGGGACGAGTGGAGATGGACTCATAATGTGGGTTACGAAAGTAGCTGAAAGCAATGCCAGTCTGTCAATCTCTGGGAATGTGTTCGTGGAACACTCAATATGGGCAAATGAACACAAAAGCTAGACTAAACAAGGAACAAATATGGGCATGAAAACAGCAGAGATACCAAAGGAATGGACAAGGGCAAAAACGACAATGCAATATCATCGTCAGCCAGTTACCTTAAGGGAGACGGCAAATTCCGATGGGACAGCGGGGCAAATGCAGACAGTGGGAACAACGGCAAGTCAACATGAATGAAAGCAATGGGATCCGGCAATGCTCGATGTTGGTTGATACGTAATGTGTCTGGAAAAGAGAAACACAGTTCTTTGTCCACGCTTACGCCCAGTGCTGACTCTGGCTCTAATCGACTGCTGCCCATCAGGTTGCGCTTTGATGGAGAGGCAGCGATCACAGTGCAGCGTTGGGAGATCAAACCGCTCGAGGAAGGTGCTGCATCGTCACTGGCCAATGACAACACGTCGTCGTTGTTTATTTCGGTGGCGTTAGATCTGCGTGGTTGAGGGCTTCCGGCGGAATCCATTGCACACATACTCCGCCAACCACCAACCAAGTCGGTCATGTATTTTTGAAAGTGTGTGGTTAATGAAGGTTCACGTACCTGAGGTGAAGATAAGAAAAGGTGCCAGTAAAAAAGGCATGAAAAGGGAATGCAACGCAAATCAGACTGCAAGCTGCAATGCGGAAAGACGTTGATAAGGAAAGTAGGAACATGTATGAAAAGTCCAATGAAAATGGGCACGGATATGGAACCAGTATACAACTGTTGCATGCGCAGGCGCTAGATGGGAGGGTAGGTATATAAATTAGGAGTTGTGTATGGTGTGTGTCTATTTGGAGTGTTACAGGCAAAATGACTGCATACTTAATGCGTTAAATAGCGAATCATCAGTCAGCTGGTTCCGTCGAGTAATCAGGGCATACGTACAGTGGACAACAGTGCTCGAACAAATACATTCCAATGTGCAATGCATCTGCGCTCCAGAGAAAAGGCTTGGCCGGAGAATTTAGAAAGGGGATTCAGCTGATATATGTATGCTTTAAAAAAGCCACCTTGGGTATGAAAGCAATAACGATAACGTAAGAGCAACGAGTAAGAAATCAATTCGCCGGATGGAGTATTCGGAAACCCGGGAAAAGAAAACGAATGCAAAAGCATCAATGACAATGTGGCTGGGCCATAGCCAACGGAGTGTGTAAGAACTGATGTTGTTAATACACGCCGTAGAAGTAGAATCGCAAGCATGATAAGCACAATTCCGATGTGATGAGAGGGATAGGAGTCAATTTGCAAACTAATTAGGTACCAGACGGCATGCTGCCGAACACCAATGGAGATTCACAGTACTACTGTTGCAACCCGGTACTGAAAGAATGAGCACATTTCGAGAATCCATGTATTTGACCAAGTTGTGCTACAGACGTGAAGTTGGATAACCGTACTGCGTCAGACATGATGTTACATGCGAACGCTGCTCTGCTATGACCGAGTGTTCAATACAGTGATCAACAGACGTTTATCGATGATCATTGTGGTTGGGTTAGTTAGGATTGGTATAACCCTAACAGCTATCCACTCTGATCGTGTCGGACATATAATGACACCAGGCACGTGTCGGTGATCGAACATGGTCAGTGTCGGTCAGGTCCTCAATGCATACGGTATCCTTGATTATAAAGCAACACTTTAAAGCCTCTACTTAACCGACAGCCACATATTCCACCATTCTCGTAAGCGATTGAAGCTTACAAGGCTATGAAAACTCTAGAAGTGTGCGTGGTTATCTCAGTAATGCGGCTATCGATGGAGATGCAAACATTCAAATAAACCAGTCCATCTTTTTCAGCGGCTCTTCAATGGTTGTGCTGACTGCTGGGATGCATGACACACAGCGTAGGAGCACATTGCACACTGAAGGCTCGAAGAGGATGTTGGAGCACACAGTATCATGCGTTGCATTAATTAATAGCACTTTCATAGCAACTGGTTCAGACCAAGTAACCACCCGTAGGTTACAGAATGTCTACCCCAGGTGATAAGCAAGGTAGTACGCAACCGTTTGGGAGCATTACTGGCATAAAACTAGGAAGGAATTGAGATGCCGTAACATGATGCTTCGATTGCTGCAGCTAGCTTAGGGAGAGGTTGTTACAGACCTTAGCGTAAAGCGTAAAGAGAAACCGCTCAGATGTGCCTTTTAGAGCAATGCATCGTCGCCAACAGCGCGGTGAGAATCGCAGCATGTGCGTTTCATGACAAATACCCTCACTAGTAAATCATTCGCCGCTCTCACAGGGGCAACACCAGGTTTATCAACCCTTGCAATTAAAATAGAACACAAAATGCGAAATTCGCATATGTGTGAACACAAACATAAGTGCGAGTAGAACGAGTGGCAGACATCGAATGAATAAAAGCCGGTGTACAACAAAGGAGCAAAATGCGAATAAATGTGTAAAAGGCCGAGGAAAGGAGAGCAGTAAGATTCTGGGTGTTTAAGGCAACTACGAGACGTAGTAAACACAAAAATGACAGTAAAGGGCACACCGTCTCACTTGAAGAGGGAAAATGGTATCCGTCTCCGTTATACAAGTGAAAATTTGCTCCCCGAAAATTTGCCCCAAAAGTGTGGTGCATAATCCTATGATAGAGGAAATTGAGAAAAATGGACTGAGATGAACTAAACAAATGTGAGTCCAAAAATGGAAAACGTTTCGGAAAGAGGATTAGCGATCATGATTCAGCAAACTTGACTAGGGAACTGGGAGACAATTAAAACTGACCCATTGCAAGCAACCAACCGGGTGAGCACGAAGAATCAGCCGCGAGTAGAGGGAGTGTGGGAAGAGGAAGGCGGAGCAGCTGATGGGGTGGTAGGTGTGGTGACGGAAATTAGAGCGAATGAACAGATATTCGGCGATGTGTTGACTGAGAATCAGACTAATTAAACACACACACACACACACACACACGTACACACACCAGAGCGAGTAGATCACGCATTGCGTACGGGAGTAAAACTGCCAGAAGTAGATTGTTCCTCCATGCAGAATGGTACACAACCGCATTCAGGGAGCTGGGAGTTGGTGATTAGCAGGGTAAGAAGGAAATTTGAAATGAATACTGATTCATTCAGGGAAAACAATCAACCGTTCCATCTTGAAACATCTATATACTCCACTTGCTTAATCCCAAGGAAATGGAAGTCAAAGGTAATCACCTGAGGGGTAGCAGTGGGGTTCAAACCAGGGGACCAGTAGACAACAAATATTTGCCTTGATCAAACACGGAAAGCGAAAGTCTCTGTGCAAATCAGGAAATGTGTTTATTTAGAACAATTAATGCATCCCAATGGTCAAGGAATGACACAGGTTAAAACAAAATCGCGTTGAGATGAGTCACACGAAAACAACACGACACGGGAAACAAATAAAAAGGGATGGTCATAAGTGATTCAGAATGATCGTCTCGATGTGACCCGTGTGCTAGCAACGAATGTTCTGCCAGAGACAGATAGGCTGTGATGGAAACCAGAGAATAGAGCCCAACGGACTTAAAGTACTGAAAATGAAAGTAACCACGGCACTGAACCCAACAGAAGGCAACGATGATAAAAACTCCAAATAGCCCGAAGCAAATTGAAACAGAAAAGGTAGCAGAAAAGTGAGGAGAGACATAGATGGAAATTGGGTATTGCCCACCCGAAAATACTGCACAACCACGACGCGTTTCGATGTAATTTTTCATCTCATCAGGTGGAGACAGCAGGATTTGAGGAGAGACATACGAGAAGGGATACACGTACGGGAGGCCGAGAGAGAGAGTTCATTCGATGGCGCAAGCACACAAGCAAGAAGGGCGACATAGTTATGATGGAGCAATTAGATGTGGATGGTATCCAGAAAACATTTTCGAAATCAGTAAACGACTGCACCCCGCAGACACATGAACAGAAGGAAGAAGGATAAGTTAAAATGCCAGGAAATTGCGGCTAAATATGGCGACGAAATGAAGGGCACTATTGCCCACACTAACCCAGATAGTCTTCAGCGTTTAAACCAAACTTGGACCACCAAGCAGCACTGTCATGGCACAATTTCCGTAGCCTGGGTGAAATGCGCATTTGAAAGAAACATTCCGTTAGCTCGGTCCCCATTTTCAGTGTATGCTGTACGCAGAGAAGAATGGCGCAGAAGCGTCAATAGAGCGAAAAACGATAGCATGGTCCAGCTAACGAATCACAAAAGATGGGGTCACTAGTGAAGTAAAGCGCACGATGTTTCGGAACAGCCATATTGGAAGCATCATAAAAATGTGACGAGTAAAAGGGTACAAACAGCGAACCGAATTAGAATCTGAAACGGCAGACGAATCATGTACACAGTGTGAAGGTAGCAAAAGTTATATAGTCGCGAAGCGTACAGAAATGTGATGAGCAAACCGTGGAACAATTGTGAAATACGACCGTTTTAGATAAGCCTAATATCGGGTACATTTGATGTGATGTTTATGCACTAAACGGGCGCAGCACAGATATGGCATGGCGCTGAAGTGAGTAACTAGTCATATTAGAGTGTAACTATACCCAAGCAATTTGTACTAGCAATAGAATGGTGATGACGCAAGACTGCACACTACCTATCACCGCACTAACGATGCCGCCTCGCATGGTGGCGAAACGTACGCAACCAGATCGCCAAACTCAACGTAATCGTCATTATATCGCTAATGCAAGTTGCTTGGGTAAGGTTACACACTAATAGTGCTGTGCCTGTATAGTGCATAAACATCGCGTCAAATTCACCTCATATTGGGCTTATTTAGCACGGTTGTATTTCACGATTACTACACGGTTTGCTCACCACACTTCTGTACGCTTCGTGACTACGTCACCTTGGCTACCTTCACAAGTTTATTATATTGCAGTGACATGCCGAGACCGTGAGCTACGGCATCTTCTTCTTCTTTGTTCGTGATTCACATCACTATGTAAGCTCCATGGTATTGTTCACCTGAGTACAGAAGAGTGCCATTGTCTCTGTTTCTACACAGATTCTGCTTCTTGGAATTTTTTGTAGATTATATGGCGCTATTTCTACCTGCTGCTTAATACTAGCACGACACGATAGTTGGTGCATCGCATAGTCCATACATGAGCTTTTTCGCATTAGACATGTGTTCTTGTGTTTCAGTTGAAGCCATTTCGCTGTTTTTCGAGCGAATTGAGCTCGCCGGTAAGGATATGTGTTGGGACCGTAAATTATTAGGTATACTTCCATTTTCGGTCTAGCCGTTTTTAGTTTGGTGGGCAGGCGTGAATCAAAGTCTCCAAAAACAATGCTTCCTCCCTATGGTGCTAAGTTTGAAATTTTGAGCACAACGCATAACAACTTCCCTTCGTGGATTCAGGTTGAACTAAACATCCAAGAAAAATCGCCCTGGAAAATCCGTGGAAAGTGAACGACCCCGGTAAATCCCTGACTAGTGATTATCATACGTTGGCCACTTTGTTTTCGCTTACAGTCAAACTCTGCGCGCACGAACAGTGCACGCTGAAGACAACGCTTAGTGGGCACGTACCGACGCCACCGAAGTCTGTGCAGAGAAATTATGCGGCGCAGAGGCCAGCAAAGTCTGTCTTGCCAAAAAAAATCAAGTGAAGAAAGTTATCCTTACTAATGTGATGTTGCCAAGATACATAAGCAATGCTGCGACAGCAGCGGTGATCAAAAACCGACAGCATCTGAACCGCTTTTGCACGTCTTGCAACCGTAAAGCAGGGCAGCCCTTACCGCAGTATTGTAAACTCGGCCCTTCAGAGAGAGACTCACGTCGTGTCGACGCCAGAGATTGCTTATCCGGACGACCGCTTCAAGTCCACAGCCATCAAGCACCCATTTAACACTGGCCACACGTTCAAGCACGATCAAAAAGACTGGAATACATTTACGAACTCCATAAACACGGCTAAACACGCCCACATACACACTTACATACATTTATATAACAATCTATGCGACAATCTCATTGATCCATTGTACATTGACTGATCACAGTTTGTACTCTTAACATGATCATGTCTGTGCAGACGTGCCTCGCTCAGTCGAGAATAAACATTTTATTTATTTATTTATTTATTTATTAGCAAAAGTAACCCATGCATTAGAGACGCGCAAAGATAACTCTACCGTTAAACCGTTAGCGTTGATGTAGGAGCAGTTCCCAACCAGTTCTGCAAGAAGACCACACACTTCGACGGTGCGAATGTTATACCAAGAAAATCCTCAGCAGTACGCCAGCACACTGTACCGAGGTTTCGCTGCTACGTAACCATCACGGTCGCGCGTGGGCTGAGTATATCGGGAAGACGCGGATTCGAACCGAATTTCAAACCAGGCGTGCAACCTATTCGGCCAGCAGCCGATAATGTTATTCCAAACTGGAAGACAGATTCCTCCAACCTACACAACACTTTTGGTAAGTCTATGAGGAATCGCACGTTATGGCGATGTCGTCTGCATAATACAAATCGCAGTCTATCCGCGGAAGAAACTCAAGACCGCTGGGTTCACAGCTTTCCACAGCCCCCTCCAAGATGTCCTCCACAGCGAAAATGAACAAGGTGGTGTGGGAAACCTTGTCTCACGCCACTGAGGATACTAAAGGGGATGGGAGTCCGCTGTACACGCGCACTAGGCCCGAGATTGGAGAATAGATGCCTCGAAGAATGTTGACATAATTCTCTGGCACTTCCACTTACAACGAAGAAGTCCAGACAGCAGCTCCCTCAACTGAGTCAAACATGGCTCTTATGTCTAAGACAACGACCGTTGGCCGACCGAACGCTTGATGACGCCCGAGTAGTTAACAGAGCGTAGAGATGTTATCGATGCAACTCCGACCTGAGCGCAACTCAGCTTGCTCTTGGCGTATGTTCTATTCGCGTACCAGGCTAAGCCTCCTTAAAAGCAGAGTGACGAGCACTTTAAATGCAATGCAGATAAGACAAATCCCTCGGTGATTAGCGCAGTTGGTCCGCACACATCTTCTGAAGACTGGCATTATACCCACTAAGCTTCGATCAGACGCGATTGCTTCAGTTAGCCAAAACACTTGGAGGAGGCAAGTTAACTCCCGAAACATTATATTTTAATAAGCAGTAAATTACCAGTTGGATTTGTGTATTCTATAATGTTTATTATTTCGATTTTTGATATATCTTATCTTTTGAATTGCGGCACAATAGTTGAACTGTGTTTCTCATCTTCAGCTAATGTGTAACGATGATGATGATGATGAGTGCCATGAAGTATCAGATGGCGAAGTTATGAGGGGAAGCCGTTGTAGAGCAGAACCGACAAAGCTGAAGCACCAGAATGTATCAATGTTTCTAATAGATCATCTGTACAAACATGCGGCAAATCCCACTTGCAAGATTGCGGTTTAGGATAAGAGTGAACAGAAACTTGCGTCAACTGTAAGGTGATGCCCATACACTCATTGCGTGGGTAGGAGAGAAAAGTACACTAGGTCTCATAGGATTAGGCAACCCACAGCGATGGGATTCAACCAGCTGAGACAATGCTAAGAAGGGAGCAGACGTTCGTATATAAAAAAACAGAGTTCTCGATTGTACGAGGAAGACTACATGTGATAAGAGGAAGCAAAGAGCTGAGCGCATATTGATCGGAAAAACGTGTAAAGTCACACAGTATGCAGGTTTACGACCAAACGCGGCCTCTATCAAGAGAGATAAACGTACACATATATAGTCTTAAATGCGTAACACGATCGTCCAAGTTGAGACTCACGTGCAAATCCCGATCCGAAAGCTTGATGCGTTGCAACTGGTCAGATTTGAGGTGAATTTGCAAGGCTTGGAACCGTCTGGAATGCGGAGAGTTTAAAAGGTCAGGGCGTAAAAATGGCCACAAAACGGCCCTTGCGCGCACTTGATATACTAGAAAAATATTAAGTGGCCAAGGAACATAATGAGCGGAAAAAGGACTGAGCTGTCTAGACAGAATAAAGCACTGTGAGAAAAGACAAAGCGGATGAAGCACACGTCCGATGTAAATGGTGTCTGCTAGTAGAGCTGTGAAGGGACGGGAGAAGTTGACAGCCGTTAGCTGATGAAAAGTGCGAAATTACCTATCCATTTCAAGTGGAACTCATTGAAATGCTGAGTTGAGTTAAAGCATGTCATTTTCTTGATTTGGTTCCCGGATGGGATACGATGTTGGATGTGGCGCAGTGCCGTTGCATCCGTAGAACAATTTCCGAACACAGGCTAGTGTATGGGACGATGAAATTTCTTGCTAATTCCTCTTAAATTAGTAGTAGGATGACTATTGTTTTGGTGACGAGGATGACGGTAACTGGACCAACGGCATCCCAATTGCTACACGGAATTAGTAGGTTTGTGCGTACGGTTTATTCTTAACAGGTTAATGCTCAACGTAAAGAACCTACAGGATAAAACCCACAGCTCTAAGAAGTAACCATATGCCTACTAGACAGATTACGTAGATGCGCAACCAACGGGGGGAGCACGTAATAGATGAGACAAAACGAAGTTAAAACGTCGCTATTAACTTAATGACGTCGAATGATTCTCAGGAGAAAAATGGATTATGTGATCTACAAGAAAGATATGTGTGCTGCAACGGATGAATGCGATACATCTAGCGCATACAACTTGCGAATTGCGTTAAACAGAGAAAATACCGTGTAAGAGTATCCCTGTTTGATGACAAGGAGTTGCGGGGTACACCGATCAGAATGTAGTGCAAGCACTCAAAACGACGGACTCTGGACGAGGAACTGAAGCACTGCAAGAGCGGCACCAAAACCAACCACACTTCTCAGTGCATACATCAGCCAAGAAAAAACGAGTGTGATACAACGCGTCCCAAAGTATTAAACGCCGATATGCTCAACAGATTGGGCTTATATTGAGAAGAGATTTTGCAACCCGAACGCCAAAAGAAAAATGTAATTTTCGTTAATGTGCAACTCGCAGTGATGGCGTAGTTTTGAAAACACTACAGTCAGTGGCGGCGCGAGAAAGGAGGGCTACTGACCGAAGGAATAAGGCAGTAACAGAACAGCGGTGCGGACAAGCCAGCATCTTGTCTGTATCTCCAACCACGGGCGGCGCATAGTGATATACCGATATGGGAACTGTTTAGCATAGATAAAACGGCACTCACATCCATCAAGGGAGTAGCACTCGTGTCCGAAAGTGAGAACTATGATAATCCCCATCTCACTGAAAGTAAGACCGTGTGAACCCAGCGCATCCAAATGACTATCGATTTGGTTGTCAAAAGACGTGAGTTGTAGCGCTAATTGAACCGATTATTAAATACACCATAGACAGGCAATCAATCACCCACATCGTTGTGACATTTGGCTGAGCAAACTGTGAAAAGAACATGTCCTCGCTACATAACAGAGTGAGAAGAGGTAGGCAGGTCAGGTACGCCGCGGCGAGGGACAAGGAGCGAATTTAAAAATAAGTACAGGGTGTGCGGATAGGTAAATATTTAGCGGAGAAAGTAAAAACCCACTCATCAGTCTTCGCTTGGATCGCAGCTTTCCAACGCTTGGAACTGCGACTGAGAGTGGTATACACCTCTCCATCGGCCTTTGGCGCCAGAGACAGCCATGTCAGTCCTTTGACCAACTGCCTATGATTCAAGAGAAAATGAACAGTTGCTCCGGTCATCAGCGTTACAAGTAACAGAAACAGAAACCGAGATAGCAAGTGTGAGCCAACTGCATCCTACAGAGAAAAAACAACTTGCACCGTTAATAAAATTAAATAGTTCAGTAGTTCCGCCGAAATAAATATCGGTGGAATACAAGTGGTTGCGAGAATACAGAAAGCAGCAACAAAAACCTAAAACAGTTTTGGGTCGTATGCGGTGTCACGAAGCCAAATAACAGCGGAATGAGAGAGAGAAAAATTGGAGCTGAATACTGCTGAAATGCGGTGTGAGTGTAAAAGGTCTCCAATTGTGTAGACGGAAAACTAAACGTATGCTATCAAAAGGGAGGCATACAATGCCGGGGCATGTCATCACGAAAGCGACCGCCATTTGACGACAGGAGGGAATGAGGTTTCGCGGAAAACCACACCATCATAAAGGGTGTGCAATCTTAGAGACCCTCAAGTGTCAACAAACGAGAAACGGACGAAATTTGGGCCACAGTGAGTGGCGCACGTTATTTGCGCTGATCGGAGTGAAATTGATTAGTCCAGCATTGCTTCCGACAGACAGGCGAATGTGCTAAGCTTTGCGGCACAACCGATGTTAGATGAAAAAGAGGTATAGTTAAAACATAGTTTTCAATGAACTCCAAATAAGATAACGTATCAAGAACTACGAAAGCATCGAGACACTTTGAAACAAACACCTGAGGACGCTAAGGCAAAGGAGAACTAGCTACCTGAAAAGCATGCCAATGGGTGCCCGAAGGTCAGGCTGAGTTGCTCGAGTGTTTTACAAGCAATCTCGAATGTATATGATAGAAGGATATGTAATTGGTATATTCTAAAGTAGATGAGGCACGGTCCAGCTACGCTGGTCCAATAATAGGTACAAAGGAAAGGCAGGATGGTTTCACAAAATTGCTGTACAAGAACACTCGGGGTTCCAATTCTATTGATTTTCGTGTCCTTGATTTCGTTTCAAAATTCGTCGGAATTCACGACAATTGCATCAATGACACAACAGCGGATCCATGACTTTAAGGTACATCGTATACTTATCGGAGCAGTGTTCCAGGACGTGGTGGGTTTTCGCCTGGCAAGCGTTCTCCCTATAAAAAGCCACATATGTCCGTTTAACAACACTGTGACGTGGCGGACGTGACTCGCCACTAAATAAAGTCACTGCCCCTTGCTTCATCCTGGCGAAGCATTGTATTCCAGCAACGTCATGCTGTACTTCTGGGGAGCATTGGGCCCCTGTTTGACAAAGGAACAAACGAAAGACGTATGAACTGAGCAATCAGTCACCGGCTCCCAATGGGCGCGATTCCCTGAATTCGCTCCGCTGCCTTGCGGACAGGCTATTCAGCCAAAGGCTCGGGGTGGTGTCCCCTAAGTCAACACCCTACTTCGGCTTGGGCAACCGGGTAGTATCTCGCCCTCTGAGGAAACCATGGACATTGTTGTGTTGTGTTTTATTTTACTATTTCTGTACTTTCGTTTGAATCCCATGGTTTCTGATGGCATTATGTCTATTCGTAGACTTTTGCAAATATATATCGGAGCAACGTCCGATCGGAATTCACTGAGCAATACAGCAGGCAGTGTTAGGTTGCAGTGTCCACTACTGTTTCTAAATCGAAAGCGTGTATTTCATCCTGACCGGTCACGATTACGTTTAACTTTGGCGTGACATATCTACTATTACATGCCTCCCTCGCAATCCGCTGGAATTGCATTCACAATTGAGATACGAGCAAGTTTAAAACCAGAAACAAATCATATATTGGAGACCGAGTTACTGCGTCCCCACTGTCATACGATTCTCACGGATAAGCGAAACAGCTGATGAATCACAGCGCAGAGATGAAAAGGTATATAGAAAGCTTGTGCAACGGCCCACTGCAGGTAAGGATCGCTAGCGCAACGCCAAATAACACGGCTATTTCCAAACTAAAAGGGCACATCTCCCGCTGAAGCGACAGCGTGATAAAAGCGGAAGCAAGGCAGCAGCTGATCTATTGGGATGTTGTTTTGGCCCAGACTAAAGCGGTGGTGACAAGTTACGTCACTCACTGCAGGTTACTGACAA